TGTTTTTCCGAGCTCCGCTTCTCTTTCTTCTTCTCCAGATCCTTCAAGACGTGGTCGAATCGAACCAGAAACTCGTCTAGCTCTTCTTGCTCACATCCGATGGCGCACGCGCAGGTCATATAACTTGAAGCCTGAAATAAGAACTTTGGAAACCTGTCAATCGACAGCAATAAGCTTCACTTTAACTTTCGAACACCCATTCATACCCAGTGTGCTTTCTATAGTCCATTAAAGTCCCAATGCGCGGAAATCCTCAAACCTACCGCAAAATAATGTTCGCTATGACTGCCGTAGTTGCTGAACATCATGCCGCCAATTTCCTTGCTGGGCCCATCCTCACACACAACAACCCGAGGACCGCTCACACGACGCGTGAACAGCGCGCTCCCGAGCTAAAAGGGAACATCAATGAGGACTGTGGTCTGAATTCGATCACTCACTTCGGTAGCTGCAGTTCCCGAATTCAGGTTCAGCGATGAGAGATCGATCGCTAGTGATATCCTATTCCATGGAACCTGAAAGACAGCGGATTAGAACCATCTCGAAATGCAAAGCCGATGAAACACATCATCGAAAACGCTCCAATAGCACGCAAAAGAAGACGTGTTATGGCATAATTTGATGACATTCTATGGCGCGAACCCCAAAACAGTTGATACCATACGAATGACTTACCTCCAAAACTCTGAGGCCTCTTTCGAGCGTCCATCGTTGGAGCTTCATTTTGAAGTCCTTGAACATTTCCCTTCTCTTTTTCAGCATCGAAAGCCAACCAGATTCCCCTAGACTCATCAACGTGATAAACAAATCTAGTATTGGAGACATACTAGCTCGGCCGGGATACCTACACAGATAATTCAACACAACTTCCAAGCAGCATCAACCCACCCGCCACCAACGTCTGATACCAAATCACTCTGACCAATGACAATAGATCCTCCTATAGGGACGAGGAAATTCTTATCAGTGCTTTGCACAACAGCGTCGACCTAATAAAAAGCTTCATCGAGGACGTTGAAACAGCCCTCCCCGAGCCTGTGGATCCCTGTTG